GCTTTAATACAAAGGGGAGAAAACTGGAGTAAAAAGTATTATTTTGTCTTTTCCCAATACATTTTGGAATCTTTATTTGCAATAATTTCTCTATCAACACTATTGACTCTGTAAAATAAGATATCCTTAATTCTAGGCTATTTCACTACTGTTTATTTGTTTAAGAAAATTAGTATTTAAATACTATCTCAAAGAATTATTATATGAATAAAAAGGCCTCCTCTTTATCATTTTTGAAATATTAACTTGTTTTTCATCTCATGGTGGATCATTCTACCTTATTTTTCCCAAAGTACTAGCTGAATTTAGCTATAATTGAATTACTCGTTTCTGTTTTTCATCCTGGCAGAGCATTCCTTCCTTCAGTGTGGCTAAAGAGGAAAGATGCATTCATATTCATTTTCTTGTACTTGATTTAATTGATGGTTTTTGATGCAGCTGAAGTTTTTGTAACACCCATTTTTTGTTACTTGATCTTATAGCAGAGTTTCACTTTGATAGAAGCTATGTCATTTAAAATATGCACAATATAAGGTTGTTCCCTCTTTTGAACATTTGGTTAATGAAGAGTTAGGTAGTTCAAGTTTTATAAAATCAAAATTATTGATTAGATTGTTTTAAGGTAAGAGCAAAATGTAGTTTGAGCACAATTTTTAAAAACCCTGATAATCTAGGGATTAACAAAATATTTATTTGCTTGAGTTAAAAGAATAGGTAATTGTGTTAAAGTATGATTGCCAGAATAAGTAATTATGCTAAAGTGTGATATGGTAAATTGATACAGTATTTAAGAATTTTCAGACTCCCAGATGAAATGCTACTATCACTGTAATTGTCATGATACACAATTTAAATCTTCTCTGATTTGGCTTATGACAGATTTTCTTCAAGATATGAACTGGAATGTTGAGGAGTAGCAGAAATTTCTGAATAGCATATATAGAATGATAAGGGAATTATTTGGGGAAACACTAGAACAATATCATTTCTTGAACTCCAGTTATGTGCAGGCATCCTTTACAGAATTATAAGCATTTTCTGGTTTATTTCTCACAATAAAACCAACAAGTAGAGACTACTAAATCCACTTTTGCTGTTAAGGAAACTGACATCATTCATCTAATAAATGATGCTATAGGTACATCATCTTTCCAAATTCATGGTCCTCCCACATTTTCCTTAGGCTCATCTTTCCCTTTCAATAATTGAGAAAATACGTAGCTGTTTTCTATTTCTTGACTTTTTCCCATGTCTAAAATAGGTTGAATTCCTTTTCTATTGTTTCTCCTTTCCCTTCTCTTTTCCTCTTTCCTTCTTTTCCAACGATAAGGGAATTGAAGATTTATATAGCTTTGAGTTTTAGGTAAAAATTATTTTGTAACTAAATTCTCAGTGGTTTGTTACAGAGGACCTCTGTTAAAGTACTTCCTCAGTCAAAGCAGGAGTGTATATTTTGTACCTATAATTGATTATCCTATGAAATTTGGTTATATAGATTAAATTTGTGCCTATAATTGATTATCCTATGAAATTTGGTTATATAGATGAAATTTGGTTATATAGTTTGTTTCAATTTTGTATGTGTTTTTACAATTCCCATATACATGTGCATTTGCAACAGATCATGCAGGAAACAAGCTAAACATGTTACTTATAAATGGGATAAAATGTACAAGAAATATGGAAGTATGTTACTAATTTGATGTTTAAATAAGCTTTTAAATATTTGTCTCTGATTATTAACTTTGTGTAACTCTCATCTCAGATTCAGTGGCTTTGGTCACAGCTGGTAACAGTTGCCAATTCCACATCCCCCTCCCCAAAATATGTTTTAGTTATTTTTCTAACTCAGCTAATTTTGGTCTATTTCAATGTAAGTTTTAACTTATTTACTAAATATGAATATTATACATCATCCTATGTTCTTATACATGTTATAAATCACTTCTTACAGGAGCACTGAATATGTCAGACATTTAGAAGGTCACCTCCTTTTCCAGAAGTGTTTATATTCAGAATTAATATCAATATCAAATTTAGACTCAGAATTAGTATTGTGCAATATGATTGATCTACAGTAAGAGGAGAGAAAGAGAAGACAGGAGATGGAGGTTGAATCTCAACTCTGCCTATAACATATAAACCTAGGAAAGACATGTGAATTCTTAAACTGCAATACTCCTATCTGAAATTTTAATTCCAACTTACCTCTTTTTAGAAGGGTATTGTTGTACTCTTGTCCACATCTGGAATTCCTCTTATATCCTCCTGATGCTGTGCCATCTTCACTCTCTCAGGATCCACAGTAAGCAGTGAGCCATGTGCCCTTTCCTGAGTCGGAGTGATCAGAGGTGAGACCTGTAACTCAGAAAGCTATGGAATAATTTTTCCCATATAAAGCTAACCGGCTCAACTCACATACTTAAGTCTAATAATATCCTAATCAACTCAATTTGCCTGCCCCTATTTCATATTTTATAGTCAGAGCAGAAAGGATACAACTCAATATTCTAAATATCATAATTTGAGTCTGGGAACAATACCAACTGTGGCTTTCAAATCCAGCTGAAGGTGAAACTGGAGATGACACCAAATTTATGCAGCAGCTGAAATAGCACAAGAAATGAGTAACACTTGAGAAGAGCAGGTAAGGCTTTACAAAAGTGTCAGAGCACTTGACACTGCTTTCTCTTGTTTTATAAAGTTCTGGGGAGAGCTGGGTATTTTATTTGCCAGGTGAAAGATGAGCTGCAAACAATTATTTACTTATGTGGTGAACCTGGTTACCAAAAAGTAAGGTCTGGAGAGGAATTCCTGCATTTCAAAAATAAAACCAGACTGAAGACAATCAATAATAGTGATTGGTTCATTTCCACAATCTTTAGTTTTTCAGAATTTGTAATTACTATATGTAATAGTCCATAAAAGACTCGTCAATTTGCCAATTAAATTTCAGAATCAATTAAATGTGGCATCACTCCCTATCTCTATATTTTTATGTTCCTACTTAGCATAGGAACTATAGTCTGCTTCAATTTCATAAAAGCTAATTTCAGACCCTCTTTTGTGAATCAAAGACAATTTTAGCTCTCCAGGTGCCTATACATATTTTAGAAAGAAAAAAATAAATTGTTAAAATAAATCAAAAAGGGTCAATGAATTTCCCTTTTTATGGCTTTATCAAATATTAAAGAATGAACAGAGGATATATTGTTTCAAGAACTAAATCCCAGAAATGGTGGTGTACTCGTCCACATACTTGCATCCATGGTCTCCAAACCCCTGGGATACTCAAGGAATCCCTTTTGTTTGAAGTTGTGCATGAGCAGCTACCTTGGGTCAGTAAAAACTACACAAAGGAGGGTCTTGGATTATGTCTACGATGTCAGGCTTTTGTCAGACTTACATATCGGTGATAATGAATTTTGTATGTTAGGTGTAAAGAAGTACTTGTCTGTGAGTACACACTCCAAGACAAGCCCAGCCAGCCATCCAAACGGAGGCCCGGTGAAGTTGTGTGAAAGGCAGGGCAAACTCGTCATCACAAACCAAAGAGCACACAGAATGTCAGACACGATAGAAGATGGAAAATCTTACCATAGTTTGTTTATTAGAAACACATCTAAAGATTACATATACACCCAGAGTAGTTTTCAGTAAAATGAGGGGAAAAATATGCCAGTCAAACATGTAAATGTCAGACAAAATTAACTTTAAGGAAAAGAGCATTATTTGATGTTCTCCAAGAAGACAAAACTCAAAAATGATGTAAGGGGTTGATTCAAGTGTCTGGTGTGAGCTGGGATTCTTTTCATATTTATATTATTTTTCAGAAGCCAGTGGATTTTTTGGTACTTTCTAAATGTAGTTAATTCATAGTAAGTCTACAGTTGTCAGAAACAGTGACATTTAATATGAGCTCCTTTACATTAATTTAGATGATCAAGTTTCAGTGGTCCAATTTCCATTATGTAAATATCATCAACATTACTTAAAAGTTTCAGATCAATTTCCTCCTGCTATGCAATATGCCAAGGTGTCAAGGACCCAAGGAATTAAAACTTGTTTTAATTACCGAAATGCTTGTAGGATTTGCAAGTTAAAAATGCCATAAAATATTTAGGTAGCCTATCTTGTAACAAATATAAACATTTCTCTTACAGTACCATGTTAAGCATTTTTTTTAAAGGTGAAAATAAATTTAGATACTGGATAAGCAGCACCATTTCAGTGTAAGACAGCTGTTGCATTCTGCACTTTTCACAGGCCTTAGGAAATCTAGAATATTATGACATGGCCAAACTGAAGGGGCCAGAGTTAATTTTTTATTCTGTCATACAGCAAATTAACAGCCTAGGGTGATAACATAGTTTGAGCCCAAGGTTGTCAAACCTATGGAAGTCAGCTCTGAAGAACAAGTATCTCAGCCAATTCTGAGACATCAAAGTTCAACAAATGCATCATTTCTAAATCCACTACTTGAAGATTCATGATGATGCTGATAATGATATTTTTCTATCAGGGAAACCTCACAAGAATGGGGCAACACCAAGATGATGAAACTCTACTTAAAAAAAAAAGGAATACTATAACCTTAGCTGTAACTTTATCACTTTCAAATTATATTTGAGAACATCAGGATACTGTCGCTTGGAGATGCTCCTCTAGATCGGATTTCTTTCATTCTCTGTGACGTTCCTTTTCACATGTTGTTTATGTATGACCAAGAATGAGAAGAGATGTAAGGAAGGTGTTCTCTCTTATTGCCCTGACACCAACTTGGCTTAACTTTTGAGATGTTTCCAATAAAGAAGTGCTTAGAAGTGAACTATAGAAGCTTGAAGCCCGGGAGTAATGTCAATTATTATATTTTCTTCTTTCATTAAAAACAGCTTTAAAAACATTCATTTGTATTTTACTATAGAACTGTAAGTAGCACAATTACAATGGGAACACCAACTGTGGCAGTGATTTTATATAGATTTATAATAAAACAAAAATGCAATTGAAGCTTCATTTTATTTACAAATGCTACATTGATATACACACAAATAATCCTCAATATTTGTGATAAAACCTTAGGGATTTGAGGAGGCAGAGGTGAAGGGGATAAAAAGGTACAGAGAGTTCCAATTATGAAATACATTATTCATGGAGATGAAAAGTACAGAATAGGAAATATGGTCAATAATTGTGTAGTATCTTTGTATGGGGACAGATGGTAACTACACTTACTGTGGTGAGCATTTTAACTGTCAAATCACTACGTTGTTCACCTGAAACCCACATAATATTCTGTATCAACTACACTTTAAAAAAGAGGCACACTTCCTTCTATCTACCCAGCTCCATATATTTACAACCGCAGGATTTTTCACAGGTAACATTTAGATTTGTGAAGGTAAAAATGAGTATCTCTAGTCCCTATTCTCTCTCTCAGCCTCTCATCCAGCTTTGGGAGGGATGAGCAGCACACAAAGTCTACTATACAAACTAAGGCTATAAGACCTGTGGCCCATGTTCACATTCATAAGATGAGCTGGCTGCAACAGGTCAGAAGAGTTTTGAGCAAAGTAATATACCTGCACATATAAGCATTACATAAAAGTGATCCTCTGCAGACACACATATATACAATATAGAACTATGTTTCTTAAATGTAGCATTTTAACTATAGTGTGTAGCCCCAAAATCAACCACCAGTTAGTAATACTTTTATGAACTGTTGATCATGATTAATGAATAATCTTCCATGTAGTCAACAACAAAAGAGGAGGAAGAAAGGAACATAGTATCAGCCAGTGATTGTCAAACCAGAAGGATATCTTGAATGTTAATATCCAAAGATAGTAATTACAAAAGTGTATCTGAACTTACCTGTATTACTGAATACCTATTCAAATTACTTAGCCCTGACTTCATGGGCACCTGACAGTTTGGCCTTTTCCCAAGAAAGCACTTGAATCACAATCTTTTATAGCAGGAAAGAAGAGAAAGACTTCAGAAGGGGCACCTGTACTCCACCTTGTCTATAAGACTTTTCACCTATGACTGTTTATATTCTCAATTTCCCAATCGAAACATGGAAAAATAAATTCTCATCTTTTTTGTTACTGCTAAGTGACTTAAAAGTTGCAGTACTCAAATACAAATACATCTGAAAAGCTCATAAATGATCACCTTTGGGTAAAAGGTGACAGTATGCAAATAGTTGTGTAAGGACCTGTTTGGGGTTCAGTGCTTTGAAGAGACCCAGCACTTCTCCCTCATCAATTTCCTTGGCAGGACGGCAACAACATGGGTGTGAGGGCGACCTCCCCAGCAGCCCTGGAAATTGTGTCACTGAAATTATGAAAAATTGGTCTTTGGCTTCTTTTCGACTTTCACATTCACCACGTAATTGGGATATGAAGAATCCCATACAAAGAAGGCAGCACCCAGAGGAATGAACAGACGTGTTTGAATAACACACACTACCACATTTTACAGCTGTCCTTTTATATTCAAATCATAGTAAGCGCAGTGTCATGTTAAATTGAAAACACTTCAGATCTAAAAATATACTGTTGAAACAAATGACATATTGAGAAACAAGGCCAAAGTCTATTTTTTAAAACATAGTCTATAATTTCAGATACAAAATACTCTATATAACCATACTTGTTATCTTCTAAATTATAATCTGGGATTTATACTTTTTAAAGTTATCACTTCTGAGTTTCAAATTTAGTATTTTATAGTTTATATATCAATATTGAATCTTTATGTTTCTTTTTAAAACTGAAACTGAGCATAAATACAATTCTAAAATGAGATTCCTGACGATAAGGAACCATATCTTCTGACAACCTTTCTTCTTAAATCACTATAATAGAATAACTTCCTTAAAATTATACTTGCTCTCTTTTGAGTGGACTGCAAATAGAGAAGTTCAAGATTTGGGCTTCATGAATTATCTTCTCATTTTTGGATTCCTCCAGGCTATTCTGACACTACTACTACATTTTATCCTATTGTCTCCCAAAACAAGCTGCTCATTATACGTTGCTCTTAAGTATATTATTGAAATGTAACCTAGAGGAAGAAATTAAGCTTCTTGCCTTAATTTCCCTCAAGCATCAGTGATATTTTCAAACATAACAATTGCCAGGCTTTGTATTTTTTTATTCTGGATTCCTAATTATATAGGATGACTGAGGGTAAATCAAAACTGTTTCACAATCACCTACTGCCAAGACTCTGGCAAATGTCTTTTGCGAAACAGAAAGTGAATGCTCTGAGGAATCTATTATACCTGCAGGAACAAGTTCTGTGTACTTTTAGGGAATGAGAAGCTAAAGAGCTAGGTTTATCATAACTAATATTTAACGGTACTGCTGTACTGCCTTTCCATTAGTCAGCAAATATTGAAAACCTATTCTGCTTCAATTTTTAGATATATACATTTGTAGATTGTTAATTTCTAAGGGTAACTGGTATAAACTCAGGAGGATCATCTTGGTAAATATTTAAGTGTCATGGTTGTTTTTATATAGATCTTATGAAAGTATTCCAGATCATGAATATCTGCATCTAAATGAGGAGAGGAAATAATGTCTCCTAAGAACTGTCTAAAATGAGCAATATTGCAATAGACATTTTAGTTCTTAAATACCTCTTTATCAAATAGCAAGTTTTATCCAGTTATAATACTTGAGACTTTGAAAATTCTTGTCTTTATCCTTACCTGCAGTAAAATATCTTGTATATCTTAATTTCTTTCTGGCTATATTAGTAATGACAGGGTACAATAATCAGCATGTGCACATGTGCACCCACAGACACACAGACACACACACCCTCACACACACACAAAGCTAACAATAAAAAGGCCTAACAGGGAGTATGTTAACCTTCATTACAGAGAAATGGCCAAGAAGGAGAGCCATGAATCCTTTTTCCATTTTTATAAAACAGAGCACAAGTAGCATTTTGCAAGGCGATAAAGTTATTTTTTTCCCATTTGTACCATTCCTTAGTAAAAGTAGGGTTTTTTGTTTTTTTGTTTTTGCATATGCAACTATGGACTCTGAAGGTAGGCAAATAAGAGTTATGAGACCAGTGAATTACTTTGGATACTCTGCTGTGCTAAGCAGGTGAGGGAAATCTGGGTTTCATATTAGGAGCCTTTCTGAGTCGTTCAATTCCTTTACAGCTACCATTAGCTGTCAGGTTCGCCGTGGATATTGTCCATGTGCACTTTGAGGTAGTCATTTCTAGTAAACTTCTTATGGCAAAGCTGGCATTCTGCCAGTGGACGATTGGGATTATGAGTCATCTTGTGTCGGATCAGCATTTTCTTCAGGCTAAATGCCAAGTCACAAACCTAGAAAAGACCCAAAGATACCAATCATATTATAGTGAAAAACCTGAAGATACACCAATTTATCATTTATAAAATATACATTGTGCAAATTCCTATTATCAAGTATGTAGCAATAGGCATTAAGAACAAAAAACTGATCTTGAAATAAATGAAATTTAACACCCAAACTAATGGATAAAGAAAATCAATTCTAGTTCTCGATAGTTGTTTGCATTTAATATGTGTCCTCTGCAACCCCAAAGTCCTCCCTTCCCCAAGTATTAAACACCTCTAGAGATATAACTCCCTGGAAACAGTATATTTTTCCTCATATTGAGCATATTGACAATTTCATGTTAAACCTCTTAAACAAAATGCCTTATGGTCTAGAGGTCATGTCTTTAAATGGCACAAGACACTGTGTCTCACCAGTGATCCCTTTAATTTAGTATCATTTGTGAAGTACAAGACTAACACTGCTTTAGCATCCTGAGTGGAATTTTATTACCTACTATTGCAATTCCTTATTTCTTATACATATTTCATTTAACTAAGGAATCTAACATGTTTACTCCATATAAACTCTCTCACATCACCAGCTGGCTCAACAGAAATTAAACAGCCCAATAATTATAAATAGTAAATAAATACAGAAGATGTAAGGCATAATCATTAAAGTCATAAAAGGGTGGAAATCTCTACATAGCAAATTTGCATTCCAAGTTTGGTATTATTCACAAAAATTCCAATTACAAGAAATTCTTCAAAAAGCACATATGTTATGAAATAAAGCATATGTAAAGTGAAAATACCATGAAAAAAATGAACATAATGAGAGAATGGCTTGTAAAAATACTGGAAGAAAGCTAGAGTTCTGAATGAGATGAAGATTCTGAAAATAGTAAAGCGGATAAAAAATTGGCTCTCTCTCTTCAAGGAGGAAGGAGGATTTTTACATTCATAGCAAGGCATAGGCCCCCAATTTGTAAAGGAAAGGGAATCATACAATAATTACGTACTTTGAATTATAGATAAGTAGCAGCATAGGATGCTATAAAGAAAATAAGCTTTAGAGTCTGCTGGGGATTGAATGTTTGTCCCCTTCTCCAAATTCAAAAGTTAAAGCTCCAATTCTCAATGTGATGTTATTTAGAGATGGAACCTTTGGGAAATTATTAGGTTAGGTGAGGTCATGAGGGCAGAACTCCCGCTATGGGATTAATGACCTTATAAAAATAGGAAGAGACACAGATCTCTCTGCAGGCACACAGCAAGGAAGGCCACATGAGGGCATGTGCAGGAAGAGAGCCCTCATCCAAAATTCAACGACTGGTACCCTGATCTCAGATCTGTGAAGGTAGGAATCTTTCTGTTTTCTTCATTTATATAACCTAAGGAGTAAGACATGTCTATGCAGAGTAAGCACTCAATAAGTACTTGTTTATTTAACTAAACTAGGTTTGAATTCTGATTCTATCACTTACTAGTAAGGAAGTTTAAATTGACAAACTATATGCCTTTTAACTTCAGTTCCCTCACCTGTAAAATGACCATATGTTACTTCATAGGATTATTACAAAGATTAGATGAGGTAATCTATGTAAATGGATGCTATATTGCAAACATACAATAAATGTTAGTGTCTATTTTATTCTCTTTCATATTATCTGGCAAGAAGAATCATTCTCAGATTGGGAAGAAGAAACATGTTACTAAGAAGAAGCCAATAGCTGCCACAGGTGGAATTCAAAGAGAACACAGCTATTCTAAAGAGTAGCAGTCCCTTGTACTATATAGGTGATTCTGCAAGGGAATAGGATAATTTTCCAGAACAAATACAATGCATCCAAACAATCTGAGGAAAGGACATTTTTCTTTGGAAATAACTTTGTCAACATAAGTTATATTTAAAATTATAACTAAAAACAGACTATATACCTTCAAAGCCACTGAAAGCAAAGCCAAGTCCATGTCAAAATCAGGAAATAAAAAGGAAAAAGCATAAGATACGATAATAGACTACATAATATGAGTTGTAATAATTGATATAGAGCATTAAGTACCCTTATTAAAGGACAAGGCTGAAATTAGAGTAAAAAGAAAAATGCAAACACATGCTATTCTCAGGAAATACATTTAAAATAATACACACACCTAAACATAATTTAAAAATGAGGATCAGAATGTGCAAAAAGTGTACAAAATGATGCTAGGGGAGTACAACTGGTCCTGAGCAAGCCCTTTTCAAAAGCACCTTGGATAGACAGAATTAGTATAAGTACTAGTATATTTACCAGCCTTAGAAAAACTAGGAGTAACACCTGTACGAATATATCCTTGTCAAAGATGTTATATACAAGATGTTCATCAAAGAATTACTTACAAAAAAGGAAGTATTACAAATGACTTACTTGCCTAGTCAAAGTTAATGAGTATATTCATTTTGATATTACTAGATGAGGAAATACTTATCAGCTGTTAATATAGATCACACTTCAAAAAATATTTAAAGGCAGGGAAAATGTAAAGGGAAGAAAACAGAATAAGGAGATTAATGTACAGTTTAGTCTACAATATTGAAATAAATATTGTAACTGCATCTATATTAGTAAGTGTAAGAGGGAAATGTTAATAGTTTAACATTAATATTAGTTGATATAAGTTGGGAAATTTGGGACCATTTTATTTCTGTCTTCATTCCCTTCTGTATGTCCTAATTTTTCTAGAGTAAAAAAGTAAACTTTTATCAATTAGAAAGCAAATATTTTGAAATGAAAAACTACAATTGGCTGAGTGAAAGTTTCATATCCTCACCTTCTATCCATGCCTCAAGCCCATTCCCATCAGACTTTGGCCAAACCACTCTGACACTGCTAAATCTAGTGAAGACTCTCGAGTCCTCTTTTAACATGAACTCTCAGGATTATCTGACATACCTGACCACTTTCTCCCGCCCGTCCTTTAGTTTTCACAATGACCTACTCTCCTTGATTTCCTTCTACTTTTCTGGCCATTTTCTTCTCTGTTATCCTGTATAGGCTCCTCCTCCATCCTGACTTAAAGTTTGAATTTTACTGTCTGTTCCTTAGCCTACTTCCCCATTCATTAGCTATTTTCTATGATCTTAATCATATCCAAGCTTTTTGTTACCATTTACATGGAGATCACTTGCAAATATCTATCTCTAATTCAGTGCTCTTTCTGATCTTCACAGTGGAGTATCCAACTTCCCACTTCAAACCTACTATGTCTAAACTGAACTAAGAATCTTTTCCCCAAATATAATTCTCAAAAAATTGGTTCTGCCATCTATCTGACACTTGCTGGGAATCTGGCTGTCAATATTCACTCAATGTCTCTCTCATGCCCACCTCATCTAATCAATTACTTCTTCCTTGCACACATTTCTTGAAGACATCCAACTGTCTCCATCTCCATCTCTACGACCTATGTAAAAATCACTATCTGCCTAGATCAGGGCTTCCCTGTCACAAAAATGTTTAGGCATACACCTATTATTGGTATTTTTAAATAAAATATTCCAGATGTAGTAGTGTATCTACATAACACATTATTAAAGATAGATATAATTTTAAGACAACATGAAAAATATTAAATAATATTTTTGGGTTAATAATTATGACTTTATATTTTCATTAGGCAACATTTTAAGATATGATATATACCTAGTGTCAGAGTAATCTTTAGCAAAAGTATAGGCAAACATGAATTTCAAATGTTTTCTTGATAATTTCAATTTTTTGGCTTACCTCTTTCCAGATATGATGGTATCATTCTTTTTATCTCAAACTGTTGCTGACTAGTAGTACTAACATTGCTGTTTTCTTTTTGTTATCTTGTGTTTGTATTATTATGATTTTTAATCCATGGTTTCTGTACCGGACTCTTTTAAGCCACTTGTAAATAATTACTTTATTTCAAAACAGATAACAGAATCCATATCTCCACTTAACTGCAATACATAAACTACAATCGTAACAATGCACTGAAAATGAGTGACCTGGGACTGTCAGTCACCTGCATCACCAGGGAATTGCCATTCTTCTTTCAGATTATGTTTGGTACTACACATCACAGGAGACAAGCTGACAGTAGCCAAGTAAGGGACCTAAGTCAAGCCCTCTATTCAATGATAACAAATTTTAATTTTGTTCTAATTTCTAAAATAAACAATGAGCAGGAATCAAAGTTGCAATCTTCCCTTCTCTTTTTCCAATGGAAATTTTGCATCTCTTTTGGGATATGCAGCTCTTCACACTGGAAACTAAAGCCTGGACAACTGCAATAGTCTCCTTCAGTGAATTTCCCCTCCCTACAGGAAATGCTTGGAATTACGGAGGTGCTTAACTGTCCTGTAGAATGGAAGCTGCTACTTGCATTTTGTACAGGGGCAGAGATGCCAATGCCTTATAATATGTGGGGCATCTCACACAATGTCAAAAGGGCCTAGTTGATAAATATCATCTGAATTTGTCTGTATTTGTCTTTATTCCCTTCCATGCTCCACCCAGCTGCTAGAAGGATCTTCTAAAAATACAAATGTCATTCAGTTACCTAAAATTATTTATGGATCTTTTCTGTTTTAGTGTAACTCACCGGGCTCTAGCCAAACGAATCAGCTTCGCTTGTAGGCTCTTGAAGACGCCATGGATTTCCTGCCTCAGTATTTTTTCACTTCTCTTTATCAAGCTTCCTCTTACTCATTCTTCAGGGAAGCCTATATGATCTGTTTGCCAGGAGAAGCTCTGTTAAATGCTCTCATTATGGTCTTCAATTCCTTTACAATATCTACCTCAAGTGTAATTAATTGTGTAATTTTTTTAAATATGTGTGTCCTTACTAGTCTAAAGAACATGAGAGCAAGAGTAGTCATTCCATAAATGTTTGCTGAATTAAAGAAAGAAAGAAAGGTAGGTAGGTAGATTAGAGAGAGAAAATCCCTGTGAGTGATGTTAAGTATCCCAAAGGCTGGGGACTAATTCTGGAGAAATCAAAGAAGGTATCTACAGAGATTATTTTCAAGTAAAAGAAACTAAATTGTTTTTATGAGTATAAATTAACATTTGTGATCATAAATAAGATAAAATTAAAATTAATCCTCCATTTTGTATTTCCCTGCTCCTTTCATAAGCCCTATGTAGAAATGAACAATGGATGCCAAGTTCTCAAACGGCTTCCCACTAAAATTAGATTGAAAATATATTCCTAAACGTGGCTCAAAGACCACCAATTTGTTGTCCAACTTTACCTTGCACCCCTCTCTTTCTCTCTCACTATACTCAAGTTCCATCTGTCTTCTTACTTCCCTTAATAAGACCTCATGCTCTTTCCCACCAACTGGCCTGGACTTGTGCTGTTCCCTGAACCTGGAATGTTTCTTCTCCATGGTTGACTCCTCATCTTAACAAGATTTAGAGTTAGTTCTCAGAGAATACTTTTCTAACTATTCTTCTATAGCCTCCGCATATACACCCTCTTCACCATTCCCAGTCTTTACCATAAAATGCAATTAGGTATTTGTTCAGGTTTATTTTTTCAATGTCTGTATTTCACATGAACATGATTTCTATCAGGGGACATGGCATTTTGTTTACTCTTTTATTTCAGTGTCTGCCATAGGAACTAGGCTTAAGGGCTAACTCAGCAATTTCCAAACATCAGCTTGTTCACTTTTCACAACCACCCTTTTAGGTAGATAACAGTATTATTATTATTTATTATTACAGCAGGAAACTGACACACACACTTCTGAGTCTCAAGCAGGTTACCCAAGATCACAGAACTCTAGCAAGTGGTTTTCAGGACTTAAACCCAGGCAGTCTGGGTTCAGAGTCTATAATAACCCCCAAGGGTCAACTATTATTAAAGGTTCTTACTTCAAACAGAGATGTGTGAGCTGACTGCATTTTTTCCATTTGCCTGGTTGACACCATTCTTAAGAAATAAAAAATCTCTTTGAAAAAATAAAGGACGTTCTCAGACAGCTCAGCTCATCAGTGTGTTGTGAGGGATATAAAGTGCAAGTCCCTTTACATGGTCACTATGGGAAATCACAGCAGCAGCCAGCTGGAGAAATGGAAAGGAAGTTGAGCAAGATGCTGAGGTTATTGATAATGGCTCTAAATTAAGGAGCCTAGAATCTCCACATAGGAGATGGGATGGGAACACTCCAACAAATTAGATAAACAAGATGAAATGGACAAATATCTAAAAGCACACAAATTACCAAAACTGACTCAAGAAGAAGTAGAAAAATTCAAGTGACCTGTGACAAGTAACCAGACTGAATCAAATTAAGAAATCTAACAAAGAAAAGTTCAGAACCAGATGGTTTCACTACCAAACATTTAAAGAAGAATTAAACTAATGCTCTCAAACTCTACCCCCCAAAAAAGAGGAGGGAATACTTTCTAACTTTCTGTGAGGCCAGCATTACCTTGATACTGAAGCCAGACAAAGATATTATAAGAAAACTGCAGACGAATAGCCTTTATGAATACAGATGCAAAAATCTTCAAACCAAAACCAAACCAAACCAAAAGAAAACCCTAACAAGCAGAATCCAAAAGCATATTAAAAGCATTATAAGGTATGAAAAAGTGACATCTATCCCAGGACTGCAGTGGTAGGTAACACAAGAATACACAATTGATAAACACACTAATAGAACAACAAACAAACAAACAAAACAGTAAAAAAAAAAAGATAGTTTCAACTGATGCAGAGAGGTATTTGACAAAACCCAACCTGACAAACACCCTGACTTGATAAAAATACTCAGAAAACTAGGATAGAAGGGAACTTTTTCAACATAATAAAGGGCATTTATGAAAACTCAAAGCTACCATTGTATGATGAAAGACTGAAAAATAATGCAAAAGAATGGACTCTTACCTCACACCATATATAAAAAATTGACTCAAAGTGGATTAAAGACCTAGTAAGAGCTAAAACTCTTATTAGGGAACTAGTAAGACTCTTAGAGAAAAAAAGCCATAATGGTAGTAAATCTTCATGACCTTCAATTTGGCAATGGATTCTTAGATATTACACCAAAAGCATCATGAGAAAAAGAGAAAGAAGAGAACAGATAAATTAGACTTTATAACATTGAAAAGTTTTGACTATCAAACAACATTATCAAGAAAGTGAAAAGAGAACCTACAAAATTAAAGAAAAGACTTGCATATCATAAATCTGATAAGGGTCTAGTATCCAGAATATACAAAGAACTCTTATATTCAACAATAACAAGACAAACAATAATATTGAACAGACATTTCTCTAAAGAAGATACATAAATGGCTGGCAAACAAGTACAGGGTAAGATGCCCAACATCATTAATCCTTTGTGAAATGCAAATCAAAACCACAATGAGATTCCACTTCATATACACTAAGATGACTATAACTTTTAAAAATGAAAAAGAACAAGTGTTGACAATGATGCAGAGAAATGGGAATTCTTGTGCATTGCTGGTGGGAATACAAAATGCTGCAGTTACTATGAAAAGCAGTATGGCAGTTTCTCCGAAAGTCAAAAACAGAATCACCATATGACACAGCAATTCCATTCTTAGGTAAATATCCCCAGAAATTGAACAGGTACTCTATTTATATACACATGTTCTTCACAGCACTATCGATTGATAGCCAAAAGCTAGAAACAACCCAAATGCTCATCAGTGGATAAATGTATAAATAAGCAGTGGTATATAATATACAATGGACTATCGCTCAGCCATAAAAAGAAATGATGTGCTGATATATGCTACAATATAGATGAACCTTGAAAACATTATGTTAAGTGAAAGAAGGCCATCACAAAAGGTCATATTTTATATGATTAATTTATATGAAATACCTAGAATAGGTAAATCCATAGAAATAGAAGAAGATTGGGGTTTCCAGAGTCTGGAAAAAATGGGGAATAACTGTCTAATGGGTATGGAATTTTATTTTGGGGCAATGAAGTGTTTTGGAACCAGATGGAGATAATGGTTGTACTATACTGTCAATGTACAAAAGGTCACTGAATAGATCACTTTAAAATGGTTAATTTTATGTTGTATTACTTTTACCTCAATTTTAAAAAAAACACCATGGTAGGGTGGAGTACACAAACATTGGAGATGAGATGAATAAGAACAGTGCAGGTCCAGGCTATGTACCACTAGTGGGAATGGAAACTGAGAGGAAGTAATGGATTAGAGAGCTATTTAGGGAGAGAGATTAGAAGTGGGCTGAGAAAGAATGGCTTCTATCTGGAATGAGTAGTTAAGGGATAAGATTTTGGAAAAGACACACCTTGTACTCTACTGAGCAGACTGAATCAGGGAAGCTTCAGAGGCAATAACTTGGATACCTACTCAGTAGATCAGTCTGGGCTGCAGTTAAGGATCAGAGAATTTGGAACATATGATAGAAGTAGATAGAAAAAAATCATGCTTATAATATTATAGTTGTTAAAAATAACATCATTGTCCAGCTTATCCAAGGAAGTAGTCAACAAAAATATTCAGTCTAAATAAAAGTCAGGTAGAGAACAATGGTAGGAAGATGACCACTACAACACAGTTAATACTTAATTTCAGGTATTTATGTAGTTGTACAATTAAATAATCTAAATAGGTTTTCCCTTAAGAAAATGCTTTCAATAAAAGCATCAATGAATTAAACCAATTGAAATTATTAAGCTGGGGCTGTACCTTCAGTTCAGGACAGAGCTCTGTATGTGTACATTTCTTTCTCTACAAGTAGTTCTTTCCTTAAAAAAGTTGACTGTTGATAAAGATATTTTTATGAGTAGGCCCACTGGGAGTACATTATTGCCTTAACCTCTCCACCAGTTTCATGAAAGGACAAAGAAAACATCTTGTGTTTGTGAGTTTCCTCTCATGTGGACTGCTCCCCCCACATGTCATCCGTTGGGATATGCCAGTGGGAGGTACTTGAGTTTCCCTCAGCATTTAAAGAGAATTCTGTACCGTGCAACTTCACACATTACAACTTTAATGTTTCTTCTTACACTGAGCTACATTAATACTCTTTTGGCTTTTCTCATGTCAGAATTAAGCATCCAAGTGTTTTTCCTAACATCTGCATCAATTTTCTGTCAATTGTCCATCTTACACAGGAGAATGGTGACACTGTTCATCGAAAAACCATTTTTCCTAAAGTAATCAATGCTTTGATTAATTTACTGACAATGGTAGTATTTTTTCTTTCATAAATAATGTAAACTATGATGATAATTTCATTTCAATTCAAATATCATAAGGAGAAAATCTAAACAATTAACAGTAGTGTTAAACAAATTGATGCATATTTTAGAAATTCATTGTTTGACTCTAACAAAGTAAATAATATCTATGACCAGTTAATCTCTGGTTTAACTGTCATTAACCTGTCAAAGATGGGCAGACACATGAAAGCTACCTAAGATTATCTGCATTTATACCCTGGAAGAACAACTGAATTGCATTAAAACAGGGTGCAAGCATGTCTTAAGGCAAATCAGAGTTTATTTACTGCCAGTAAACCAGGATGAATAAAATTACTACGATGTAGTTATATGGATTATGCAATCAAAAGGTACAAACAGACCAAGACATTAATAGGCACAACCAGCACTTCAAAACACAACATACTCATACCTACACACACAGACACACAGATGTGCATGCATGCTCAAACATACTTACACACCTATCTCCTGTTTTTGCAGGGCACTAGGGAAAGAAAAAAGAAGCCAAACTCACATCACACTGAAAAGGCTTTTCTCCCGTGTGTGTCCTCCTGTGCTCATCCAGGCCTCGCTTCTGGCTGAAGGCCTTGCTGCACTCAGAGCACTTGTATGGCTTCTCCTAGAGTCAGTGAAAAGAGATCATCATGAATGTGAGTGACTGCAGAGCCCTTCTTATTAAGGTGTCTGTGGGTGGGTATATTATCTAGTTCTGCAGGGTGTGGCAGCAAATTCACACCGGTGCCCTAAATTATTTTAAATTTTCAGAGGAAACAGCAGTATGCAACATCTATGGGACAGTTTGAAAACTACTGACTCAAGGTAATTCCCAGTTCCAACACTAGATTGCACTACATTTCCTTCCATGAAGTCGTATCTTTGCAAAGCTGAATTCTGAATGATTTCTGTGATCTAACTATTTAATGAACTGAACTCTTAGGCTCTCTTTTGGTCTCAGGGTGCCAAAAAGTTTACTGAGAGACTATGGGCATCACGGACCAAGAAAGTTTGGGACTTCTGATTTAGGTGGTGCAAACTGTTTCCCATCTGGGAATGAGAACTTCAGAACTAAATTTTCAACAGATTTTGGGGGTAAATTTAGAAAGCTGAAGCTCAACTGTGATTTAAGTGTTTTCATTTCTTCTATCCTATCTTTTTTCCTAAGTAGGATGTGCTTTTATAAAATCTAAATTATTTTTTAAATGAGGGTTCTTTTACTGTTGGTCACAGACTCTTAAGGAAAAGAAGTATTTCCAATGGAAAAGAAAAAAAATTTGCATATTCCTTAACCATCTTTGATACCAGGAACTTATATCACCAACTTTTTAGATTGGGATGAATTGCAAAGTAATTAACATTGGTCCATTGTTCATTAAAAATTACTTAATAGTGCATCAATAAAAAGATTTGTTTAAAGCAAACTTGCAATCAGATATTCTTTCAAATATACAAAAATATTGTTATAAAAGCTTTTTTGGATTTAGATAGCATTTATATATATATATGCTTTTAATTTCATGTTATGCAGACAAGTTCTACTTATATTTGCTTAGTATTTTAAAGAATATTATATAAATTTTCAGACCTACAAAATGGTATGTAAATAACCAAGCAGACATATGTGTGCCCACGAGTTCACTTAAGATATCAAACATCACCAGCAAAGGGGTCCCTCTCAGTGCACCCACCACACCTTAATGGCAGCACCCTCCCATCTCCTCAGAGGTGACCGCCACCCTGGATATGGTGCTTGGCATGCCCTTGCCTTTCTCTGTATTTTTACTGAACAGGTATGGATGGATCGCTAAGGAAGACATAGTATTACTTTGCCTTTTAAAATGATGCAAATAGCATCATACTGTATGAATTCTTTGTGAGTTCTTTTGAAACTTATTTTTGCTCAACATTATCTTTAGGAGCGTCTAGTTACCCACTTTCATTTTGTGGACACATGTTGCTCCTACTCATTCATTTTTAATGCTATATAGTATTACATTCAATGGCTATACCACAATTTGCCTATATACATCCTCCAATGATGAATAGCTTAGTTTTTCCAGTTTTTCACTCTTACAAGTAATGCTCCTCTGAATATTCTTACATATGTACATGAACACAGATGAGTGTAATTCCCTGTATGTGCATCTAGAAGTGGGATTGCACCTTTTCTAGGAACGGCCAAATCGTTCTACAAGTGAAGAAACCATTTTATACTCCAATATATCCAGTGTATTTTTGTAATTTTATCACTGTATTTTACAAATTTTGAGACTCACATTAAGTACATTTTGAGTGTATATAAGTTTAAAAATATTATATTCCTATAATGTTATGGAAAATGGGAAAACTAGTGTTATGTTAAATAGGACCTTTTATCATTTCAAAGTGACCTTTATCTGTAATAATCTTTTTTATCTTAAAATTAACTTTTTAATTTTAATTTACTATTATATAAAATATTAATTTATTAATTTAAAAAATTAGTCTTTGCTTAGGGTTAGGGCAATTGAGAAGATGGTCACAGGGTACAAATTTTTAGTTAGAGGTTGAATAAATGTTGGAGATCTAGTGCATGCCATTGCGATTACAGTCATCAATACTGTGGTATACAGTATTCAGAGTTGCTAAGAGATTAGATCTTAAATGTTCGCACAATAAGAAAAAGAAATTGTGATATGATGGTGGTATCAGCTACACTATGGTGGTAATCATATTGCAATATATCAGTGTAGCAAATCAACACTTTGCACACCACAAGTTTACCCAATATTATATGTCAATTATATCACAGTTTTTTAAAAAGAGGCAACAAATAAAATAAATTTAATTACTGTTTGCTGGTATGGCCATCTTTTTACTTTCAGTTTCTAACCTTAGGTATGAAAAGCATCTCTTGGAAAGAGCATACAACTGGGTTTTTTAAATCCAAACTTAGAAATTTATGTAACATTTTTAAAGACAGTAAGTTTTTATTAGTGATACTAATGTTTATCACCATTTACCAATTTATTATACTAGAATACAATTATCACATTAAATATGTAATGTAATTAGTATCACCTTTTAATTAATAATTATTAATAATACATTCAAATATATTTCTAAAATTTGATTTTGACATTGCTTTTAGCTTGCTTGTTTTATGTTTTCCCCCATGTTTTCTTGTATGTTTTTATCATTTTCCCTTCTGTATTATAGAAGTTATGAACTCTATTTTATCCTTTCAGTGGTTACCCTTAAATTTTTTTACCACGTACATTTAACAAAATCCAAAGTATATCTATACATTTTTCCTCCTCCCATGTCCTATAGAATGTTCCTGTCTTACATGTTATATATAGCAGTATTTTATTTGCACCTTGAATTTTAATGCTAAATATGGAATCACTATTATTTTATATAATCAGTGTTTTAGCTTTACACATGATTAACAATTCCTTTACTTTTCCTGCTTTCTTACATATTTGGCCTTCCAAGGATCTATTGGGGGTAAATTCTGTTTTTATTTGATTGAAAATGTCTTTGTCTATTTGTTATTGAATGAAAATCTACAAATCCAATTAGATGTGTAATATATTCTATTTTTCATGTCTTTTAACCTCTTTACCATTTCCAACTTTGTATTGCAATGTATGTAGTTTCTTTAGAATCAGTTAATCCATTCTTTTCAGGTACAAATAACTTGATACTCATTTGTTTTTAATTTCCATTATCATATTTTTGATTTCTAGAAGTTTTTGTTCTTGTCAATTATGTTTAAATTTTTGATATAATCTTAATTTTTACTCATTTTGCTTATACCTACTTAAAATATTCTAGGCACTTAAATAATTTTCTTTCTCTGATAAATCATTATCTTAAGGTTTTTGGAAGTCTAGTTCTGCTATTTGTGGTTTCTCCTGTCTCCTACCCATGGCTCTTGTTTCCTTAGGTGTTTCTGGAATTTGGAATCATGAGCTCATGTTTGGTGGTCTTTAACTGTTAAAATCCTGTGACCCATAGGTTGAGGGTAGGTCCCTCCAGACAGCATTTGTGTTTGCTTCTGCCAGTGACTCTGGGATGCTATCAATCAAAAACAATTTAAAGTTTATTTCATGCTTTAGGATTTTCGGGTCAGGCAAGTATTTTAAGTCTGAACTCCAAACACACTTGAGGGAAGGACTGTGGCGACAAACTCTAGGGAGAATGCTTTCCCTGGCCAGCAGCTACCCAAGACAGTTAAATGTTCTGAACATCTGTTTGCCAAAGGTAGATTATTTCTAGTCCCAATTTCATTTTGAGTATAGCCTTTCTGGGGTTCTAGCATTACAGTGGGATGTGGCTCCATCTTGCTCTATCACCTGAGCCCAGAGCTTGTCTCCTCTTCCATCACCATTAAAAACCAAGTCTCGGTTCTAGGCATACTGGTAAACAGCCTGCAAAGTGCTGCAAACTTAACCTTATTACTTGGGAGGTCAGCTTCAGCTTTGTTTGTTACACCCTGGATTTACCGTTAGTCTTTTTACAAGTTCAGATATTTGCTATTTTTTAAATTTTATCCAGCATTGATAGGTATTTTATAGTGGGCCTCTTTGCCAGAAGGCACTGTATGCATCATTTCCAAGAAGTGAAAGATGTATTTTAAGTGACTGTTCACAATCAACAGAAAATAAATAATTGTATTTTCTTATAAGTCCAAGAAATATGAAGCTTACTGTTTTTTCCCTCTAGTCTGAATAAACACAATCTCTTTTCACACATTGTATTACCTTTGGCAGCTATTATTTCTTCGAGTATTGTCTAGCTTTTGAAAAACTTGAAAAGGAAATGCAGTTCTAAGTATTTAAATCAGAAATTTCTTTGAGTTGCTGGGAATGTTTATAGTTTTTATTCTATCTAAAAGGTTTTACTTAAATTGGTATTTTAAAAACATAACGGTATCACTATGACACATATGAAAAGGAAAAAAGGATTCTTTCTGCAATTTATCTGTAAAACCAGGCCTTGTGAAGACGTAAGAGGCACATCACTATGGCAGCTACCCATGACAGGCAAGTGCCTGGAAGAGAAGAACCTAAGGCAGGCCCAACTATCTGAATGGCATACTAGAGAGTCAGAGGAAGTTTCAAGGAAGAGAAAGAAGTGAAAAAGAAGGTCTGAGCCCCACTGATTAAGAATATCTCTCTCACTTATTCCTAAATTTCCTCTTAGAAGATACTGAGTAATATCCTAGAGACTGCCATATGGATACGTGGACAGATTGCAGCCAGTATATCCTGGTGGGACACAGCGACTTTGTAGTTATCACAAGAGCCTTTAAAACCTAAATGTGTAGTATGTGTTGGCTTGGATTGAATTTTTTAAGACATTAGTTAATGTCTTAAACACATACATATTCACCCACTCACATATTTTTCAAATATTTAGATACTGCTGGTGATTAACTCAATATACTTTTATGAATGTCACTGAAATTTTATTATACTATACCTTCATTTACCTATTTACCTATTTTCTCCTATAAAAGACACTGAAAGGTTCTTCTCTTCCAGGCACTTGTGCTTCTATGTGCGTGTTGGCAGGAAAGGGGGAGGGGGGTGAAATTTATGTCAGAAAGTTGTCTCCAATTCAAAAAGTTTGAGA